ACATACTATCTAGAAGGTGCGCTAAATTCAGTATTAATTTTGCGGTGATTGCATTGCTCGTTGTGCCAATATTCTCAAATATAGGGGGTGGTCGGTGACTTTTGCCACGGGAGTGTACACTCTTGATTTATTATACTTTAATTTTGCAATTAGTTCCATTAAATTATCTGAAATCGAGACAATTAATTGATTTGATCAGTTACGCTGAAAGACATTTATTATTGCAGCCGAAACGAAAACCAATTCAGTCACAAAGAAATTGATTACGAAAAACATTAGTATTAGTGCTGGCCCGAGTGAATAAAGTCGCGGGACAAAGTTTTTTGCTTCATATAAAAGTGACCCAAGTTTAAATGCTTATAACTTTCATACAGACCATATTTTAAAAATCTGACTGGTAACTTTGTAGACCTTATCATGATAAATTTTTTGGGGAGTTGAAAGGTTTTAGAGTCATACCATTTTATTGCCGGGTTATGACTTCCGGCACCATAGGTAAATTGCATTTGTTACTTTAAATCGATTGAGAGTATTTCTCATAGTGTGTAGGTGACTTTTTAAAATTATTATAATAAGGGGTTTCATCATTTAAGATGTCTGTCCAAAGTCTATCGTTTTAGGCCGCCTCACTTTCGATGTTCGCGTAATTGGTAGATTGTTTTCTAAGTTACTGGGGAGAACTGCCTCATGTTACAAAATATCGTTCTCTCACTTCTATATAGCATCTAATGCATCGATGGTAAGTATGATAGCAGTAGCAAGAACCAACTATATTGTGAAATTTTCATTAATAGCATGATATCGAATACAAATACTGATGCAGCGCAAGAATTACCAGTCTACAATGCAGCAGCGACGTTAATATACAGTATATATATATTAAAAACGTAAAAAAGAGCATATGCAATTACATCCATAAGCAACGAGTAAATTTCTCAAATATAGATGAGTAGCTTTGCTTTTTCTTACCACCTTATCTTCTATATTAACTTCACAGTTTACTCAAAAATTTTTTTTTGCCAAGGAATTTGATAAATTGTGGATAATATTAATAATGAAACCTTTGGCGTAAATTAAGAAGAGCTGCAGCACGTCGAAGCATTAATCGACAAATAGAAAAGCACAAAAGACAGCGTAGAGGATATATTCGTGTGCGATATGCACAGAGAAATTCTATTGCAGTTTCCCATTCCTCTGAAAATACTTTTGCGTATTATTAATTATTACGTCTCTTTGGAAATGATCGACCAATGATAATTTATTGGTTTTGTAATATATACATGTAAATAGTATCCGAACAAACAAGTCCTGCACATGTTGAATTACGAACACAGCTCCACTACTTATCGATGAAATGATAGCAGAGCTGTTCATCTCATAACACAACTGTACCCTTATATAAATACATTTCTTCTCCTAACTGACAGGACCAGAAAACACTTCTTCTTACACTATAAAGCTCAGGTTGTTTATTGTTCGTGGGTGGTTTATGTTCTTTCGCAGATGTTACTTTATACGACGACTCTCCAAGGAATTCAACAGGTACGCCACTGGTTACTTGTCGAATAACTTTCCCTAGTCTCAATGAACCTACTTCAATAGTTTGTAGTTGAAAGGATACGACCAGAATATCGTTTATACTTGGTAGCAATATTATAGTAGATGGTGGGGATGACCATTGAATAGGACGGTATGTGTGGTATGGCTCAGCCCGAATGTTGACGATGTGTGACATTCTTGAAATAGTGCAAAGAAACAATTGATTGGCCAATGGCGGTAGCAAAACTTCTGTTGAAATAGATCGTGGAATAGTGACTGTTCTATCTCCAGCAAGGGATGATTTCGTATGCAAAGAAGGTAATGGCGATTGGATAGATCGAGGAGGGGATAGACGTTCATCAAATTCGATCAGTGGTGTAGGTTCTGAAATTTGGTTGTTGTCTTGTGGCGAAGAGTTTGGACCCTCGGCAGATATAGAAACGTCAACCCCAATGCGAGAATTATTCTTTGAATGTTTTCTGTGAAATTCCTGCCTAGATCGGAGACTAGATCTTTGGAAATTGAAACCTGTGGGAGATTTCGGTGAGGATGATTCTGATGGCATGGCTGATACAGTTGACGGTGAATTTTGTGAGCGCTTTGCTTCCTCCACTAGAAAGTCCATATTCCATGAAATTGGATTAAACGTCAACCATTCTGGATTGGCTTCGTGGCGGGGAATTAAATGTTTCAACATTGGTGGCTCTGATACTAGACTTGTGGCCGCGTCGATTACAACAAGTCTATCCTTCCCAGTACGAAGTATTATGTTCCGAACAACCCAGGTGTCTGTGTGAACACTGACCCATCGTGGTTGCTCTAACGCATGTATCAATCGTAAAATAAGAATGGTGTAATTAAACGGGATAAAAAAAACACATTTGGAAAAGCTTACCAGGAACCCAGAACGTCTTTATTAATTCAAATATAGCCTTGGAATTGTTTGTTGAAGTTTCATGAAGTGTTATTGTATTATTCGTAACGATACAAATTAAGTAAATGTGGTTTCTGGTCTCCTTGATAACAAACGAAGAAACGTTCTCATTTTGATCAAGCTTAGTGTAGTCTCGCGCATAACCATGGGCTACAGCATATTCTTCTTTATTTAAATCCAAGATGTCAAAGACTCCCGTTATGTGATTCTGGATGTAGTCAGTCAGTTGGGATGTGATGTTCGAGAGTCGGCGTTCGTGTTTATTTGATGAATCCGAAATAGACGGATGAGGGCCATGAGCAAGAGCTTGCTGGCGGGACATTTTGCAAACATGCTTATCCACACCTGTTATTCCTGTATTGTCCTTCATATCGTCTTCTTCATCTCTATAACCACAGTGCTCACATTTATGAACCTCATTTCTTCGAGATGATTTCCTTGTGACTGGAGCAGTCTTTGAAAGATCAACAACAACGCCGTTCTTGCACGCGTATATATATTTTATCAGATGCAATAAACTTTGTAGGTTATAGAGACGAATCTGTTGCTTTTTTCCGGCTAATGCAACTAGAATCCCTTGATCATCTAGAACGTGCAGCTGTTTAAACGAACAGCCACGAATAATTTGCTTCGGTTTTATCAGGTCCCAGTTAACAGAAAAGTCAATGGTAAACAACCCATGGTCGTTTCCGAGTAGTAAGTATTGTTTTCTAAACATGGTTGCGCATAGAATTTTCTCTGCAAACCCATTATTGGGCGTCCCCAGAAGTTTCGATTCAAATTCACCTTTCCCAACTGTTGGAGTACCGCGAACTTGCAAGTTAACTCTGGTGTTTTGACGCTGTAGTGTCATTGTCTACTAGGAGTAATACAGATAATAGAAGTGAGCCATAGAGTAGTTATACATGACAGTACCCGTCACTTTACCTTTCTATCAAGATGGTTTTCTATATTGATCCCGTTACCAGTAGTAAACTGTGTATTTATTACATTATTTCCTTCTTGAATCAATTTATCGATGGTCTTCTTATCAATGTAGGAAGGTAGAGGAACTTCGTCAGTAGACGAAAGTCCAGAATTGGCAAAGACTATGTCCGATTCTTGCATCTTAACAACGAAGACTGCTATTCCGAGACGAGACAAATATGCCAATTTCTTCGATGCAGTGTAACAGTAACGAATAAACCGCCCAATAAAATTTAAGAATTTAATATCATATGATATACCACTATTACTATTACTATTTATATTTGACAGGTTCCATAGTGATAGTAATAGTAAACGTAAGTTACAAGTGACAAGCAGGAAACGATCTTTCCAAATTGGTGTAACATACCGAAATGGACTAGCGAGTTCGGTAATAATAATAATATTATTACAGTATTAATGACACGAATGATCAATTTTATAATAATGTCGTGAACAAAAGTATTGCTACAAAGAGCAGATGTGATTGGAGGATTTCATTAAATAGTGTTAGTAGATATAGAGAACTAGATAGTGTGTCTCGAAAAAAATGGTGGCAGCAAAAACTATGTTTTACCACAACTACATAACGTAGCTAGAATTTAGGCTTATTTGAAAGGTTATGAGCTGCTTTAGTATTAGTAATGAAAAAATTTTAATATGCCGTTGTGCAAAACAATATTTTGTATTGTTTCTTCCATAGTCTTTTCTTTGCATGTGTCGCCAACAGAATGATATACAATCAATGCAGGATTATTGTGTGTTTCTTGAAGTTTCATTGCAAGCTGATGGATGAATCGAAATGGCACTATTATAGCGAACAGCTTGCCAAAAGTGTAAAATAGTGTTGCTGAGTTTCAAATTTAGATTAGCCATGTTATTAAGCTCTACAAAGACAAACCTCTAAATTACTTCCTTATAGAAACTGGCAATTATCAAAAAAATTCTTGAAAAAAAAAAACGGTAAACGAAATAAAAATGAATAACCATATCTAATTGGTTTTTGTTTTGTAAAAACCGCGTTTTTTTTATTTACGAGTCAAAAAAAAAAAGGTTATTTGCAAACCACCTTTCTTTTCGAGACACGTTGTATAATAAAGGCAGCAAAGAATGTTAACAGAGCGGACTTCACTATGTATACAACTTTTAAGTATCATCAATTGTGTTTAAATGGGATGGAAAGATGAATGCAAGTTTGCAGATTGAAAAAAAAAAACTTTAGAGAAAGCGTGACTATATGTCAAGTCATATTATTAGAACGTGGACTCAATGGTGAGTTTCATGTCCATAGACAGGAAAACCATATAAAATTAAATACTTGCTTGCGGCGAAGATTTTGTTAATTAATGTCAAAAATGGTTACGCTAGCAAACCGGAATTCCGTCTTCCTAAAGAATTAAAGAAGAAACGGTCTTTCCTAAGATGACTGGATACATAACAAGGATATGAACATTGTCGAGTCAACAATCGCATGAGAGTAATCGATCGCCGACCTTGAGATTTACAGTGTACGAAACGTAATAAAAATATTATTTTATTTACTGTACAGCAAGAACAGCTTATGCAGGGGTTTGCAAAAAAAATGGACAAATTGACTTGCTCATTTCTGCGCTGCCAGTATTTCAAGTGTTGCATGATACATATCATTTGAAAGCTTGAAACAAGTAGTTTTTATTTATGGGGAATTCGATCGCCATTTTTTCTTTTACTTTATTGATTCTACCAAACTAATTAGAGTTTCTGGAATAGAACTCCAAGTTCCCGTCATAAAATGTTCTAATTAATGGGTATGCACTTTTGACCATTTCTTTAACCGATTTAACAAGATTTATATAGTCTGAGCTATTGGAGGTCGAAAAATTCAATTGCAGATCGCGAATTTAAAGTACTATTTGTATAGTGATTTCAGCCTGGGTTAGTACTTTCAGGAGCATGTTTTTCAAAAAATGCTGACTAGTATGCTTGAAGTCACTATGAAAAGGTTAAGACGAAAGATAACAGTTTTAACATACAATTAATTGTATTTTACATGGTATAAATAGCATTGCAAGGAGATTGGAGGAGATAATTGCAAATAATGGTAATAAACTTGTTTACCATATCATAAGCAGTATGCATATAAAATCTTGTGTACTTACACTATTACAGGGGGTTGCAAAAAAATTTTGTATATGTGTAAATTTTCTTATTACGAGCTAAATTATTCAATAAACTGTAAGCTTTATTTTCTATACGCTTTTTTCAAATTTCTAACAAATTTTCAATTAGGTAATATCAGATGGCTAATCCATAATTTTGGACACCTTGTATGAGAATGGAACATTGATTTTGCTCATAACAATAATGTCATTTGCGCGCACTGTAACTATGTTTACTTTTAGTTAAATATGACAACAGTTAGTGATTTGTAAACGAGGCTTTACTACTCACGACTTTGTATCGATCGGTAGACACTAATCCTAGACGTCGAGCTAATCGACTGTTCCCTTCCCGAAAATGTAATGCCACAAAAATATCCACGGAACAAGAAGCGGGTATTATTAATCGATATAAGGATTAGTGGTTCAGGGATTAGCGGTTCACAACTATATCAATAATTACCAGGAATGGACTCGTTAACTATTAATCCTTGTGACACCATCGTAATTATGTAGAACAAAATATGAATGGAATGTCAACCTCGATAAGTCGGCCCAAGTGGGCTGGAGTACACCTTTAGCGTTCAATCGTAGGTGTAAACAAATAAAGAACGCAAAACTCCAAGTGGGCTGGAGAGGACCGACTTACTGAGGGCACGTGACCTAACCGAACAATAAATTTAATACAAAAACTATTACCGAATTTTCGTTATACCGAAGGAATTCTGGCTCCCCGTTTTTTAAATAGTAAAATTCCTCGTTATAACGAATTTAATACCGAAGTTCGATGCAGGATTTTTACATATGCTACTAATCACTTTATACTGAAGTTTTATCACGTGATAAACAATGTAGAATACTGATTGGTTGTAGCAGATGAGGATCATATGATTTTGGTCATCCGATTTTGGTCACATGATTATATCGGTAGTTACAGTCATACCGGCATTGTCTATACCGGTTTTGCCTTATACCGGTCCGATTTCGCTGAACCAAAAAATTCTATTAATCTCACCCTTTATAACGGCAGATCTTAACAACTCTGTTTATACCAGCTCCGGCACAAGTTACACAAGATCA